GCACGGGTGACATCGGACGCCCACTGTCTGCAAGCGGCGGCCGGAGCAGGGGCCTGTAGCCCGTGCCCTCGCCCCGGCCAGGCCCCTGCGACTGTTCTCCTCGCCCGCCGCTCCGGCTGCACCGGAGGTTCCGGTGGTCCGGGCGCGCCTCGCCCCTCTTTCCAGGCGGCGGCGGCTCCAGCCGCTCTCGGGGCCGCGGCGGAATCAGCGATTCGCCACCGCACTCCGACTGTCCCTCTCTTCCCCGGGGCGACCGGCAGCTGCTTAAGAACCGACTCTGGGTGATGTCACTGTCGCCCCACCCCCACGACCCGGCGAGTCCCCCTCCCCCCTCCATCCCGCCCTCTCCGTCACTCCGCCTACCTCCTCCCTAGAGGAGACGCTGCTCTAGCGGTAAGCTGGATGGCTGCTACCTAGGGCGCCGGCCAGCACCTCCTCCTCAGTGCGCGGGTCCTCCACTCATTCCTGACTCACCTGGCCAGAGCTGGACCAAAGTCCCCTCCGTTTTCCTGAACCTCTTCCTATCTCTAGGAAAACGGTTTCCCTGGCCAGCTTCCAGCCATCCTTAGTCCTCCCCTTCACTCCACTCCTACCCTGGAGTGGCTAGGAGTGGCTTGGTGGCTACACAGACCCTCCCTCAAAGGCCCCTTCACTCCACTCCTAGCCTAGTCCTTCCCTTCCAGGTGATCCATCCTTCCCAAGATCCCTCCAGTCTGCCTCACAACTCTTCACTGACCCTCAGCTGCAACTAAGGGAGTGTTGGGTACCCAGGCACAGAGCTTCTTGGCCCCTACACCAAAGTGGGTACCCAGTGCAATGGCCTCCTGAAGGGCTGGGCCTACACTGCCCTGGAGACACGAGATTTCCCCTGACACATTCTGTGGGGCTTGGCCAGAGGCATTGCACTACCTTACCCAAGATATTCAGCCCTTGCCCAAAGGTACAAGCCCTAGAGGCTGAGGGTCAAGGTGTCAGCCCTGGGTGTGACAGTTTTCTGTTTGTCTCCTGAGTGGGCAAAGGGTAGCTTGCCTGGTTGAAGATCAAGGTTGAAAATACACTTTGTGCCCGTGCAGTGGCGCATGCCTTTTAATCTCTGGGGAGGCTGAGGCAGGCGTATCTCTTGAGTTCAAGGCCAGCCTCGGCTACATAGTGAGTTCCAGACCAGCTCGGGTACAGGGAGACGCCCTCTCAAAGAGACAAAAAAAAAAAAAAAAAAAAAAAAAAAAAAAAAAAAAGACAAAAAGAAAATGCACTTTGTTACTAAGGTGACTGCAAGATAACCCCTGCCACCCTACCTTGCCTGGTCTAGGGTGGGGAGGGCTTGTGACCTGTGCAGACTGGCTTAGGAAAGGTAAGGCTGCCCCCTGGTGCTTGGTGGCTGCACAGACCCTTCCTCAAAGCCCACTGCTTAGAGGGCCCAAGTTCAGCACCTTCCTGCTGTGGTACTCAGGGACCTCCAAGCCTCCCATCCGCAGTTTGTCTGTTGGGAATGTTCCAGGGTCAAGACTAGCCTGGGGTAGACTGGAAAGATGAGGTGTGCCAATTTCAATCCCCAAACTCCCTGATCTGATCAGACACTGAAGTCCCCAGATGGCTCATCCTCATGCTAAGCCAGTAGCCATCAGGCAGCTTTAGGAAGAAAAGTAGTTCCAGCCAGAGCCAGATTGAGCTTGCTAGGTAAGGGAGAGGCATCATCTCCACCCAGGCTAGCAGGAGGAGCTCTGTATATGTGGGGGCAAGGTGGCAGAGTCACATTGCTCATCAGAGGACCCTAACTTGAGTCTTCTTTGGCCCAGCCTGGGACAGAAACCCGCCCTCCTGGAGACAAAAAGACCTTAGAGGAGTCACCCATAGCATACACAGCCTGGAAGGGCTGGGATAACCTGAGGAACAAGGGCAAAGGGCATTTAAAAGAGAGGAGGCCGGGCATGGTGGTGCACGCCTTTAATCCCAGCACTAGGGAGGCAGAGGCAGGCGGATCTCTGTGAGTTCAAGGCCAGCCTGGTCTACATAGTGAATCCAGGACAGCTGGGGCTACAGGGGAGACCCTGTCTCAAAAAGACTTTAAAAAAAAAAAAAGAGGACAGGAGGATTTCATGAAGTGGACGCAGAAGACTCCATTGTAGCAGGAAGACAGACTGGAGATGTGAGACCTTCGGGGGGAGCGGGAGCAGGTGCTGCCTCTGTGACCTGTATGAGGTGTAGGCAGGGGCTAGCTAGTGCCAGGAAAATCAGACTGTGGAAGTGAGAGTGGAGTGGGAACTGGGTGCAGGCTACTCTAGAGAATTTAAGGTCCTGATGGTCTGGGGAGCAGGGGTGTGAGGGAGAGAACACAGTGGCTTGAGAAGGATGTGGGTGAGCTGTTGGTGCTTTAAAGAGATGGCAGCCGCTGTGAGGTTGGGGGGGGTCAAGACCAGGAGCCAAGGGTGAAGGCCTCCCTCCACCCTGGGCCTGTGCTCAGCAGCTGGGTGGGGAAGGCATGTGCCAAGGCTTGGGACAGGAACATGAGGGAGGAGTAGCACCTCCACCCAGGCACAAAGAGGAGCTTTGAGGGCCGAGTCTCGCATGCTTAGGCGCTGGGAGTTGCAACTGCCTTTGTGGGCTCAGAGGTGGAGACCACTGGGGGACAGAAGTGAAAGGCTGCTGAGAATAGCTCCTGTGACCTTGAGGGTTCCTGGGCCTCTGCATCTCAGGGGACAGGTCCAACACGTCCTGAAACCTGACTGCACAGGGCCCAACTGTCTCTTGCCTGCTATGGCACCACCTTCCAGCTTGTCTCTAGGCTGTGGGTCTTCTTAAGTTCGCTGTGGCCAGCCCTCTGCAGCGGTCCCGTGACCACCATTCTTTCAATTCTTTCAGAGTGTGCACTTCTCCACACTCCCAACAGTCAGTGCCTGGGCCGCAGGCTCCACATTGGCAATGGTTCTCTTTCCTTGCTCCCACTGATGGTCAGGAGGCTAATGAAGGAGGCACAGGTGGAACCTGCCTGGGCAGCCACCGGTCAACCATTTCCCAAGAAACAAAGAGGCGGAGTCAACTAGGCTGAGGCTGGCAGCCTTACTCTGTGCCTGTGGGTGTGTGCGTGTGCTCAGACCCAGCCGCCTGTGGGAGTGTGCGTTGACGGGACAGTTTGTGTGTCTGGGGGTAGCTCCCAGGTTATGCAAGTACCAAGGGGGAACGAAAGCACGGACTTTCCCAACCCTGGGCAGGCTCTCTCCAGGCATGCTCCTGTTGAGGAGCATGGTGGATTTCTGAGGATTTCAGCTCAGAGCCACAGGCTCTTCCCAACTGCACGATCCTGTGACCCTAGTGTTCCAGTCATGAAGGCAGTGAGCTGTGCTAGGCAGTGAGCTGTGCTGAGACCACAACTGGGGACTGGGGTAGAAGCTGAGAGGATAGGGTGGGCTGAAGGTGGCAAGGGAGAGGGTTGTCACAGGGCCCTTGTTGGTGGTAGAGGCTGGCAAGTGAGGCTGGGGTTGGACTCAGTGTCCACCCAGGCCTGAGGTGTCCATGGGTTGGGAGAGGGCTGTATTGAGGGGTGACAGTTATTCTGTAAGGAGCTAGGCAGCTGGAGACAAGGTTGGGGCGCCTCCTCTTCTGGAGGCCCAGCACAATGGGCTTTAGAATTAGAATGAGCTGGAAACAAAGGGGAAGCTGGGGTCCACCTGGCAGGGCTTTGCACTTCCAGCTCCTGCAGCCCAGCGGGCTAGGGGGAGAAATGTGGCTGGGGTCAAGGTTCATGGAGCTGGGGGTGCAACCTCAGAGGTCTGGGACTGATGAAAGGCAGAGTCCCCACCCCTCCTCAGCACAGCACCTCTTGCCTACCAGCTCTGCTCACTCACACAGACCCTCTGAAAGGACTTGCTGGGGTTTTTTTTTTGTTTGTTTTTTTGAGACAGGGTCTCCTTGTAGCCCCACTTAGCCTGGAACTTTGTGGACCAAGCTGGCCTTGAACTCACAGAGATCCACTGGCCTCTGTCTCCCAAGTGCTGAATTTAAAGGGATGTACATTGGCCCACTTGCTTATGTTTATGTAAAATTTATACTCGACTCTTTTTGCAATTTATTTATTTATTGTCTTTTTGAGACAGGGCCTCCGTGTAGCACCAGCTGGCCTGGAACTCTCTAAGTAGACCTACTTAGAGAACTAATAGAACTACTCTTTAAGTAGACCAGGCTGGCCTTGAACTCACAGAGATCTGCCTGTCTCTGCCTCCCAAGTGCTGGGATTAAAGGCATGTGCCACCAGGCCAGCCATCAATTCTTTTTTTTTGTTAGAGGATACTTTTTTCTTTTAGGGGTTGGGGGGGAAATGGGACAATGTATCATACTATAACTTGACTGGCCTTGAACTTGAGTAGCTCCTCTTGCCTGAACCTCCTGCATGCTCTGATTACAGGTGTGAGCTACCACATTCAGTTTACTGGCTTATACAACTTTTAAAAAAAATATTTAATTTATTATTTTTATTTTATGTGTATGAGTGTATTGCCTGCATGTGTGTAAGTGCACCCATGTCATACAATGCCCATGGAGGTCAGAAGAATGCGTCAGATCCTCTGGAACTACAGATGGTTGTTAACCACCATGTGGGTGCTGGCAATCAAACCCGGGTCCTCTGCAAGAGTAGTTAGTGTTCTTAATTGGGTCTCATTTAGCCCAGGTTGGCCTTGAACCTATGTAATTGAGGATGACTTTGAA